CTCTCTCTCAAATAAATAAATAAAATCTTAAAAAAAAAAAAAAATTTTTTTTAAAAAGAACTATTCTGTTTTTACTTATGTAAAATTTTATTTTTATTAAAACCAATAATCTGAGAACTTGTTTTCAGATTATCAATAATACAAAACAATTAATAAAACAACCAGCTAACAAAAACATTTATAATGTAGACTTATGGCTCAATGAAAAGAAACAACCCCTTTGGCTACTTAATAACTAAAACCCAAAATGAACAAACCTCTAACCTGTGAAAAGCATCTGTTGAGAGGAAAGTTTCTTAAAACTTTGGAAGGAAGCTGAGAAAACTCTGAGCAATTTGCATCCTTTACAAAGATACCCTTTTATACTTACTGGGAAAGAGTTCTGCTCCTTTCTATAGCTGTCACTTCCTGCTTCTGGCCATGCAGAACCAGAGCTGCTGTTTTGTGAAACAGTTCAATTGAGCAGGCAGTCAGTTCTGCTAGGCTCCGGATTGCAAATGCATGGATATCCTGAAAGGAAAAACCAAACAAGACACTGGGTTTTGTTTTTTGTTTTTTTTTTAGCCCAGGGGACATGATGTCAGCTTGCTTTTCTCATACTGGAGGATTCGGTATCTTGAAAGCAGCAGAAACCAATGGCTGCCCTTCAATAAACCTCCTCTTGTACCACAGCAGGGATGTCATTTTACAGCTGGGCTCATAACTACAAAAACAGAAGCTCCCCCAAAGTCAGGTGTGACCATGCCAAAAGATTTAGATAAAAAGTGGCTTGTAGCAGGCTTCTGGGAACTTTCCTCATGACAGAACACACACAAACCCTTAGTCTCTTTTTCTTCACTCCTTCTTTCATCCTACAGTCTGGAACAAGGTTGCTACAATCTTGGATTACAAGGTTGAAATGACGAGTAGTGATGCAACAAAACAGAAGGTGCCTACGTCCCTGATCGTGATACCCACATCTCCACACCGTTAAAAAAGAAAAAAAAGTTTAGTTGCTTTGGTACCTCTACTGAATTTTTACTGATGTTCTCAGTTTTTTCTGTTTCCAACTGTTTTTCTCCTTCTTCCTTCTCTTCTAATGGCTTGGCCAGAGATGTACTGATCCATTCGTAGGCAGTATTTCTTGCCTAAATAAGAAAAAGATTACTGCCCGTCAACAATTCAATTCAGCTCACCAAAAGGTGACTGTATGCATTGTGCACCTACCAGGAACATGCCAGCATCATGTAAGTCAGCACTCTTGTTCTCACCCAAACATACATTTATCATACATGTATCTACTTACCTTACTACTTCTCTTGACAACACTTAACACCTGTCCACTCATTCCTTCTTGAAATTCTCTAATCCTTTGGCCTTTTTGAAAATTGTAACTTACATAAAGTGCACAAATCTTCAGAGCACAATTCAAGAAATGTTCACATGTGTATATGCCTTTGTAACTGCAACCTAGATCAAGATCCAGAACATTTTCATCACCCTAGAAGAGAAGGTTCCCTCATGCCCCTTCCTAGTCAATAACCGCTCAAACCAAGTCACCATTCCCCTTGCCCAAAGGTAACCATTCTTCTGTCTCACTGTAAATTAATTTTACCTGTCCTAAAATGAAATCTTAAGTCCATTCTAATTTGTGTCTGGCTTCTTATGCCGAACATACTGTCTGTTAGTTTTATCCATGCTTCTGCAAGTATCAGTAGCTCATTCTTACTTCTTGCTGTGTAGTAGTCCATTTTATACATATACCATAATTTACCATTCTCCCAATGATGGGCCTTTGAATTGTTTCTGGTTTTGACTTTTATAATACCACCATCTTCCAATTCTTGCCTCCACCCTTATAAGCATCCCTCCTCAGGCTCTTGTATGTATTGATCCTTCTTTTTAAGCCCCTTAAACACCAACATCACCTGGAGTTCTAGCCTGGCTTTCTACTTATCTCACCCTACTTCCTCTTCCCTCAACCCATCCTATTTCTATAATTTTAAGTATTCTCTACCTGCTGCAAACTCCTAAATCCTTATTTCCAGCACTGACCTCTCCTGAAAACTGCTTGCTGGACATACATATCAGGATATTTTATAGGCTGATCATTCCTCTTCCCTTCAATGGCTCCCCATCAACCAGATCATGTTCTTTTACATGACTGAAGAAGTACCCATGACCTAGACCCTACTGACTTCTCCAGCTTCATCTCTGACCACTTTCCATTCTAAGAACTGATAATAATGACCTATAATGTGCCTGTTCTTCGTTCATGCTATTCCCTTAGGTTAGAATGTCCTTCCCCACCCTTTTCTTTGCTCTAAATAAAGGCAGCTCTTCGTTTTCTTTCAATCCTCTACCCAGACATTGTTTCTTCCGGGTTACTTTCAAAAACCTTCCAGGAGACTGGGCACCTAAACAACCCTTTTCTGTGTGTCCACAGTCCCCTGAGCACCCCTTCAACTTAGTACTTACCAAAAGACACTGAAATTAAATGTGCCTATCTCCTACATAAACATTGCTACAGGATAGTTACAGAATGTCTTATTTGGATTTGCACACCCAGTGCCTAGCACACTATAGAGGACACCTACTGTTTTTACCTAGCCAGTATCCATATCTCTTTTCTTTTGGTAGTAGGTTCCAGATTTTTCTTAGTTCATGTGGTTTGGGTAGGACTGCTTCCACCCTCTGGATCCAAGGGTTGGCAAACAATTCAGATTTAGTTACCAAGAATATTAATCCCCCTATCTATACAGTGATTACTTCATGGATGGAAAAGTGACCCCAACCCAGGTCAATGGGCATCAGCCTCAGGACATCTGATAAAATTACTGGGGAAGGGAAGCCCTCCTTCTGTTGGAGTTACTCAACTGGGAAAAAAAGTCACCCTGAAGTTGCCAGTAGTCATCCTACCACCATGAGGAAAAGATCCTCTAAGAATAAAGCCAAAACAGAAAAAAGCAGAGTCAAGAGATCGGCGTGGGGATTGGGGTAGAGGGTGGGTGGGGTTCCTGGGTAGATAACCATGCCTGTAGCCAGTCTTGCCCCTTGATTTTCTAGTTTCTTGAGCTAATGAATGCCCCTTTTTTCTTAAACCAGTCTGACTGGAGTTTCTGTCATTTGCAACTCTGAGTGTCCTGGCTTCTAAGAAAAGGTTTATTGTCATTAAACGAAGGCATCCACTTGAGGAACTTTATATACATGGAATGTGCTCAGAGCTGTAACTAAGCAATAGGAATCCAGAGAAGACCATGAGAGTAATTCCAGTTGAGAAATGAGAATCACAGGTTTTAATACATATATAGCACTGGGGTTGAGCCTTTAAAATGAACAGACGGGGCTATACCCAAGGCTATAGCATGAATGAGCTAGAGCAGAACCTATGTACCCAGACATTCATTTCAAGGTTCTTTCTCCTATGGTACAAGATCTCCCATAAAAACCCTCAAGAACAATCTGGCTCTGATCTATAATTTCCCTATGCATTAACTTCTCAAATTAAAAAATAATAATAACTATATAAAAGACGGAAAAAAGAAAACTCAAAGTGTGCTGAGAAAACTGTGAAGCAACTAGTTAGACCAGAGCAGACGGTGCATTTATTAATTAGTTCATCCATTACAAATATTTACTACACACTGTCCTAGGTGCTGGGAATACAGTGGCGACTAATATAAACCATGGTCCTGCTCTTCTTTACTCTAGTGCAGAAAGACAACAAACAAATGAGTGAGAAAATAAAATGGAGAGATGGAGAGTATGGACTGGATGAGAAGGCAGACTTGACTTAGGTGGTCAGGAGGGGTCTCGAAGAGTGAAATTTGAGCTGAAATCTGAAGTTTAAAAGGAATCAGCCGTGCAAATATTTAGACAATGAGAGTTGTAAGTAGAGGGAAATCAGGTGGGTGTACTGAAGGAACAGAAGGAAGACCAATATGGGAGAAGCATGGTAGAAGATGAGGTTGGAGTGGTGAGATTTTGAGAGAAGAGAACAGTGAGAGATGAGGCTGGAAAGAATCCTAACAGATGACTAACAGTCTAAATAGTATGTGAAATGCTCTGCAATTTCTTTGAAGAGATAAAATGAGAGAAAAACCAGGGATTGATTTATCTCAGATTAAAAGAAGACAGAAAAATGGAGAGATAAAGCCACTCAAGAGAAAAAAAACTGGTATCATAAATGTAGTATACTTGAAGGAGATATTTTAGTAGGCATAGTACATACTCAAAATGACCACTCCTGTAATAAATACATTAACTGAAGTCATTATGAACTACTGTTCCAACTCAAGGTAATTTATCATACCTTTTAAAAGTCAGCAATGCTACCCAGGCCTCACACCCAGAATTCAGTCTGGAACTTCCCATTGGAGAGACCTGGAGACTTAGGAATTAAAAGGCACCTTTGAGTTTAACTTCTCTAACCACTTATTTTTTATCAGTTGGGGGAAAAAAATAAAATGAGGCCTAGAAAAGAAATGGGATTTGCCCACGTCACATGTGTCAGAATAAGAATCAGAACTGTGTACTCAGAATCCTGCTTCATTGCTTTTCCCCTATATGACAGTCTTCCATATAAATCCTTGGGGAAAATCAGGCCCTGACCTTTAACTATTCTACTTCTTATGACTCAACACCCAAAATGTAAACAATGTGAAGACTGCTTTCAGAGAATGACCACTACTACCAAACAGCTAAGGGGTTACTTGCTTTTTTAAAATAACTTCTTATTATGATTTCCTTGAGTACACAAATTATGTCTTTTTCATTACTGTTTCCCTAGCACCTAGCAAAATAAAAGTTACTTGACATATGTATATTTATCAAATACCTATATGTTTAATACATGGGGCGAACTTCTATAGATAGAACCATCAATGGTGAACATTTGCTATGAGCCAGGGACTCCATAAAAGTTTTGTATGTATTAACACATTAATTCTTCACAAGAACTCTACATCATCCCTACCTCACAGAGAGAGGAACTGAGGCAGAAAGGTTAACCAACTTGCTCAACACCACAAAGTAAGAAATGTACATCTGGGATTTTAAGGGCCAATAAGGCAAAGATCCAGTCTTGAAGAAATTTAAGATTTAGGATGGAAGGTGGGGCACCCAGGTGACTCAGTCAGTTAAGGATCCAACTCTTGATTTCGGCTCGGGTCATGATCTCAGGTTGAGGGATCAGCCCTGTGTCAGGCGCCGCATTCAGTGGGGAGTCTGCTTGAGATTCTCTCTCTCCCTCTGCCCCTCCCCTCTGTACACGTTCTCCTTCTCTCTCTCTCTCAAATAAATAAGTCTTTAAAAAAAAAAAGATTTAGGATGGGAGGTAAGATATACACATTTAAAAAAACAAAAACAACTTATCATACATTTATAAATACATATTCATAAGGTTAAGTGAATAAAGCAAAATGCTAAAGAACATACACAGTGTGTTAACTTTTGTATAAGCAGAAAATATATCTGCTTATCTTTAAAATATATTTACTTATCTAAAAAAAGCACAAGGACATGCCAGAAAGCAAGAAAGTTTAATATCTAAAAGGAGAAAAAGTTACAGAAGATGAGACCTTCTGCCCTCAGCAACCTTAAAGATTTAAGGGTCAAATTGTTCAGGGGGGGATGATGTGGAAAACAAAGGCAGAAGAAAAATTATTAAATTTCCTTACTACCTACAGCCCATTGACAAGTCCTTGAAACAGGCAGAGTGACATTCCTCTAGGGACTCAACTGCCTCGATGTTAATACTTTGCTAAGGGCAAAAGGCAATCCTAGCCTGACTACCCCACCCCCTGACACCAGGATCCTGTAAGTCTACTTTAACATATAAAAATTCCTTTGGAAACTTCCTTCATCTCTAAACCCCCCCAAGATACATGTTGGTAATCATCCCCCAAGCATACGGCCCACATACATCTGAAGGGTCTCATGACTAAGGTTTTATTAGACGGTAATAAATGACCTTTTCCCAACAACAGCTAGCCCCCTCAAGGTCCTGGAAACCTTGCTTCCAAAGTTCCTTATAGACTTACACTATCTCTAACTCCCCTCCCAACTTCAAAGTATATAAATGGGCCACTCCTCATGACCCCAGTGCAGCTCTTTCTGCCCACGGGTCCTGTTCCTGTGCTTTTAATAAAATCACCTCTTTGCACCAAATAAATAAATAAAGAGAAAATGGAGCAGATGGGAATTATACAGTTTTGACTTTCAGAAACAATGATAATACTCTACATATTCAAAAATTAAATTAACAAGGGGGAAAGCAAATAAATCATACATTCTTTCCATAGGTTGGTTTTATAGTAGCATGGGCAAAGCAATGAAACTATTTCAGATGCGTTACAGAACTGAGGAAATAAGGACATGTGCTAATGTTGGGGGATGGGGTTCTTACTGTGGAAGAAGAGAGTACAAACGTGTCATGAGGAAAGGCAAGGCAGGAAGAACCCTGTAGGGATGGACTGAAATTGGAGTTACCAAGATAAACTCATGATCTCCAACTTACGTATGTGTGTACACGTAAAATATGGGGTGTGTTATCTGAGTACATTTCCTAGCTTTGCCCACAGGGCCTAGAAGCAAAGACACCACAGCAGTGAAGAGCACTCCTAGCACCCACATCTTAGCCTGTACTACTAAAAAGGAACTATGGCTCCTTGAAGACATGGCTGATTCCAGGGCTGGCATATGGAAGGTACAAAGTGAGTCCATGATATCTTGTTACGACAGAAAATAAGGAAATACTCCAAACAATGATAAGTGCATGTCACACAGGAGTCCCTGAAGGACAATTTGAATACCAAACTAACTAAAAACAGTAATGAATTATAAACCAAAGGAAAAAAAACAGAAACCCATGAGATCATATTAAATAACAGATAATAAATAAATAGGAGAAGGGAGAGGTCTTAACTAGAGTAGAATGCCAAGAGCCAACTGATAAATGTGGAGCAAGTGCTAGGGTTAAAATACATCATCCTTTTGCAACCATCACAGTAAATATTGATACAGCAGGAATCATGAATAGATGCTAAACCTAGGAGGGAAATTATGATGAGGATCAGGATATTTGTTGGTCTTAAAATGTCTCCCCATAGAAAGTTTCTTAGTAACACAGGGAAAAAATCATAACCATACAGTGAGAAATCAGGCAACACATCACAATAAGGGGAAGATGGACATCGTGTGCCTTAGATATGATAGCCTGGGAAGGATACAACCTTACTGATGAAGTGTCTTACCTGGGGAGGCATAACCTTACTTTAGTCATGAGAAAACACCAGACAAACCCCAAATGAGGAATACTCTATTTTTATACAGGGGGAAAGGAGTTTGTATATCTCATCATAAAAGACAAGGAAAGTGAGGAACTACTCTAAATTAAAAGAGACAGAAATACATGACAACTAAACACAATTCATGATTATGTACTGGCTCCAATGTTAGAGGAAAAAATTTGATACAAAGGACATTGTTGGGCCAGCTGCCAAAACCAGAATGTGGACAAGTGGACAACAGATTAAATAAAAATATGCTTATCAGGGGCACCTGGGTGGGGGCTCAGTCAGTTAAGCATCTGCTTTCAGCTCAGATCATGATCCCAGGATCCTGGGATCGAGCGCAGGTCGGGCTCCCTGCTCAGCAGAGAATCTGCTTCTCCCTCTCCCTCTGCCCCTCCCCCTGCTCATGCTCTCTCTCTCTCTCTTGCTCTCTAATAAATATTTTAAAAAAAAAATGTGTCAATGTTAAGTTTACTGCAGGGGATAACTACTGTGGTGACATAAGGGAATATCCATATTCTCAGCAGGTACATATTAAAATATTTATGAGTAAAGGGCTCTCATGTTTACAATTAATTCCCCAAAATAGTCCCAATAACAACACGCATGTGCACATGTGTATGTGTGTGGTGCTGTATGGGGGAGAAGGGGAAAAGGAGGAGAAGGGATAGGAGAGGGAATGAGAGAATAAATGCTCAAACACGAATGATTAAACATATGGAGTTAACTGTTAACAATAGGTGTATCTGCATAAAAGATATATGAGTGTTATTTGCTTTATTTGTGCAACTTTTCTCTAAATTTGGTATTATTTCCAACTCAAAAAACACTATGATGATACAAGCTAGAAAGTGCTGTAGTCAAGTTCTACAGTTGAGATGAGGAAGATGAGCTGCTGGGGGGTAATCTGAAAAGCTTTCTTGGTGAATGCAGCGTTTTCACTGGACATAAGGGAGTGGGATAACAAATCAAGCATCACATTCCTTACCCTGAGGCATGCAGGTGACTGTAACGGCCAATGCGTGCCTGCCGTTAACTGGTCCAGGGATGTTTCCGGAGACTGGGAGAGGAGGGTGAAGAGGCAGCAAGCAGCCCAAGAGCCAGTGGACAGTGTCCCATGAGCTGGCACTGGCATATATGCTATTGTGAGTACTGCTCTGCAAACAGAGCCTCCTACCCACTCTGATTAAAGCCCTTTCACGTTCTAAATGTGTGAAGATAGCTCAGACATCACCATCAAAGATGAAGGCCTAGGCCATGGGACTCTCATTTCCACATGCTAAGTGGTCACTGGGCTCTGAGAAATGATAACCTCCATCCAGGTCCATAAGGGCCGGGGCCAGATTCCATCATTTCTGAATCACCCAGAGCCCTGAGAACAGGGAGACCTCAATAGAGGCTAACCCACTGGTCTCACGAAGGCTAGGGAGCACTGCCAACACTGTGGCCTAATGTGAGCTTTCAGATAAGCAAGCATTCCAAATGAAAACAGGTGAGGATAGCAGAAGCGTGAGGCAGGCAAGGCAGATGTGAGATCTGCATGCTAACCTGTGAGAGCAGGAGGCTGGCAGAAGGTATCGAATTCAGAATATACCCCCGATTTGGTGACATCCTTGCCAGGAAGTTAGAATCTTATATTCTTTATCCACTAAATCAACACAAGTAAAAAAATGAAAATCACCAAGAAGTAGTAACTTACCCTGGCAAGTTTCTCAGGTTTGGAGGAGACCTGCAGCTGGGAAAATAGCTCTGTTATCTCTTTGGTAAAGTCTTCATCCCCTAAAAAAACAAAAACAAAAACCAGGTCCCATTTAAGACACTGCAGACAGACAGATGGTGATGGGGGGGGGGTGGTAAGGAGGAAGAGGGGAGGCATGGCAGGAGCGGCAGCACCAACAGTCACAGCAACAGCAGTCTAAATGAGCATGGTGCATTAATGCTTACAGAATCCTGCTGTATATGCCAATGAATCCTTTCAGTGGGCTTCTAAAAAGTGTTGTTATCCCATTTTAGAGATAAAGAAACTAGGGCTTGAAGGGGCTAATTTCCCCAAACTCTCATAGCAAAGATTAGGAGTCAAACCTTGGCCTTCCCACCCCAGTCCAAATCCTGTGCTCTGTATATCATATTCCAGATGTAGGAATGAGAACTGGTTAAGGCAGAGTACTAAGCAGGTACTATGTCTGTGCTTCCAAGAAAGTGTAATTTAAGTCAGGACATAAAAAATGAGTACAACTTAGCCAGGAGAAAAGGAAGAGTCTCAGACAGTGAAAACAAGTAAAAGATGCAGAGGTGAAAGAAAGCATGGCAACAAGTTTAACATGTTTGAGAGTGTCTTAATGTAAAGGGGAGAAGAGAGGTAAGAATGAAGCTAGAAAGTCAAGTAGGATCCAGTTAAAGGGGGCCTTAAAAACATGGTGAGGGGGGCGCCTGGGTGGCTCAGATGGTTAAGCGTCTGCCTTCGGCTCGGGTCATGATCCCAGGGTCCTGGGATCAAGCCCCACATCGGGCTCCTGGCTCAGCGGGGAGCCTGCTTCTCCCTCTGTCTGCTTCTCTCCCCGCTCATGCTCTCTCTCTCTCTGTATCTCTCTGTCTCATATAAATAAATAAATAAATAATCTTAAAAAAAAAATGGTGAGGAATTCAAGCTTTTTATTGAGGGAGTGAGGAGACACTGAATGATTTTAAAGAGAGACAGATATATCCAACTTAAACTTTAGAAAGACCCACTTTGGCTCCTGGGTGGGGGATGAACTGAAATGGGAACAAGAAGAGGAGTAGGAAGGCTGAGGCAACAATCCAAGATCGAGGTAAGAAATAATGATGGATAAGAAGAAAGGAAGAGGAAATGGGACCCCAGAATGTCAGAAGAATGGTAAGAAAGCTATTGGTTAAGAAGCCTAAGAGACGATGGGAAATACATAATGCTTATATTTGAGAAACATACAGGCAAATAGGTGAGTCAATATAAAAAACAAACAACACATCGAAACAAATGGCAAGAAATGCTGTTTTCCTTTCTACTCATCTAAATCTTACTTAATTTCCTCAGACCAAGGCTTCTCTTAACTGTACAGTGTAGGGAGAACTCTTGTATATAGACATCTTCTAGCACTTACAATCCATATGAATATTTCTTAGTCACCAGTTCATGGCTTACCAGGGCAAATGATTATTCTTCATACCTGGTTTCTCCCCAAAACCCTTAGAAGAAAAAATTCATCTTCGTTCTTTCTCCATCTACTATCCTTTCGTCCTTCTCTCTTGGTGTTCAAGACAGAGAATTCCAATGGTTTGGTGATCCCAGGTATAATATGATTTGGTGAAGTTGATCTCCTAAATACTACAGCTATAACCTATCAAATCCTACTGCCTAAAAATCTAAAATCTGACAGGCATTTTGTTTTTCTAGCAAAGCTTCTAATTATTTGGGAGCAAGGGAGTATCTGAATCTATACTGGGATGCATGTACCCCAAGGGGTTCACAAAATAATCCAATAGAGTACTGGGGGAACAACAGAACTTTTATTTGTAGACATTTATCTCATCCTTTAAAAACATCTATTTTAGGGTATACTTTAGAACGTAATATATTATTATAGTAGTACATGTATACAATTTATAAACATCAAATGTACATACATTAAGTCTAAGTGCTCAAAAAAACTTTTACTGCTAAGGGTTGATCAAAAAAATTTGGAGATCCTGTCATGTACTGCCCACAGACCTAAGTATAAAAAGTAGTTGCTGCGATAAGGTAAAAGTTCGAGGATGGAAAGGAGGTAGGGCTAGTGCTTTAGAAGGACTCAAGAGAGGCTGGGGTCACCCTCTTCAATGGTTTTCTCTTCCCTCTGCTACCACCTCACCTTTTTTTTTTTTTTTTTAACATTTTCATTGAGATATAATAATACCAAGGTCAGTGTTGCATTTTCATCCAAAATCCCTGGGAAAACCTGTTGGGGAGGGTAGTGCACAGCACTTCAGTGCTCTCTTTTCAGAGTCCTGATCTCTGGCAAGCAGGTAGGAGAGAAAAATGTCATAGACACAAATCCATCTGTTCAGAAATGCCATTAGAGTCCTCAGAATGGTATTTAAAGATCAGGATTTCTGATTACTATACCAAGCCAGATGTTGACTAAATTGAACAAATACTGTTAATGGTATTATGTACAAATAAATTAAGTTTATAGATAACTGGGGATTGCCACACTAGGGCTTAATTAGGAACAACAGAGCAACTTAAGTAAATAAAAATTAATTTATGGATTTCCTGCTAAGCGTAGATCTTTACTTATGCCACCGTGATAATGAAAATAGCAGCCACCATTTGTTGAGTGCTTACCATGTGTCACACCTTTAATATTTCATTTAGTCCAACCTGAGAGAAATTAGCATGTTCTTCTTACAGATGAGAAAACAGAATTTCAGTGTTAAGTAATTTTCCAAGGTCACATGGCTTAGGAAACAGCAATCTTGATTCCAAAGCCCATCCTTTCATCCACCATGCTATACTGTCTTCTCAGTACTTCAGGTAAGCTTTAAAAACTTTTATTCAAGAGCCATTTCATATCAGGACCAGTATCTTTACATAGTACATATAGCAAGATGTTATATAACCAGTCAATGTGACTTCTTAGAATTCAGTGCAAAACACAAATGGGAGCACAAAAGAGGAAGTTCTATTCTCTTAGTATAGAATCCATACATTCTACTTTACTTCCTTCTCTCACAAGAAAGGCCCTAAGACTCTCAAGACTCTCACTCAAGTGCCCTTTTAATACACAACTTGAATAAACTAGTTAACTGGTTTTCCACCCAAAGCTGATTAAAGATAGAAAATGAGATTCGGAGGGTATTAGAAGGAAGCTCATTGATAGTGAAGAGAATTAAAAGATGGGCAGAGAAATGCACAGAATATAAAGACGTACAATTCTGGAAAGCAATAGAGACATTTCTAAAAGCATAGCAGTTTAGGATAATTTAATATAGCAGCTCTCAAAAACACTTTGGTCTCAGGATCCCTTTATACTCTTAAAACTTTTTGAGAACCCCAAAGAGTCTTTTTTAATGTAAGTTACATACCTGTCAACACTCATCATATTAAAAATTAAAACTGAAATGTCTGAAGTATTTAATTCTTTAAACACACTTGTTGACATAATTTTTAAGAAAAACAACTACATTTTCCAAAAAAGAAAAATTTTAGTGAGATGAATGCCGTTGTTCTATATCTCTGCAAATCTCTTTGATGCCTAGCTTAAAGACAGCTGGATTCTTTTACCTGCTTTTACATTCAACCTTTTAAAGTACACGAAGAAAATTCAAGCTCACATAGTTGGAAAGAGGAGAACAATTTTAATAGCCTTTGCAGATAATTGTGGATATTCTTTAATACTACACCAAAACTCAACAAATAGTTATTTCTTAAAGGTTAGTTATAATGTAGAACCTGAAATCATATCATGAAATTTTGAATTCAGTTACATTAAATTAAAATCCACTGGTCCATCTCTTGCCCAGGCATGACTTTGTAACACCACCCATTAGTCATCTGGAAAATACTGGTTCTCTGAATTACACAAGTCTTCTAAATGCTAACACATTTAAATACCTCTAGGAAATCAAATTTGTTACTCTCACCACCAATTTCATCAAAAAAATCTGTAAGCACTGGGAAGTGGTCAAGCTCACCACAGCAACAAAGAGAAGTTTTACAAAATTCTAACTTTTGCTTAGTTTAAATTTTACTAGTCACAAGTATTTCTTTACTTCAAGTGAAGGCTCCTTTCATTCATTTTCAAGAAAATTTTCACCAAATATCCTACTCTGAACAGTCTGTGTGACTGCAATCTTTTTAAATAAAAATGGCGTTCCATTAAAAAACAGGTACTTCAGCTTATGACTCAAACAACAGTGCTTTTCCTTGAGACAGCTTCAGTATGCATCACACAAAAGATGAAAAATAAGTGTACTCAAGGGTCAAGACTTAGTAAGATTAATCACTGTTACTGTTTCATGAGGATAAGGTTAAATGAAACTGGCACTTTAAAAAATTTTACTTATTTATTTATTATTAACTGTGAATGCATGGCAGTGAAAATATTAGTACAGTTGGTACCACTGTCTTGATCTGTGTTAAGACACCAGTCATTTTACTCACCACTGCTTTTGCACCATCAGTGCAAATGTTAAAATGATAAATTTTTTAAAAAGAAAAAAACATTTTGGTATTTTGATGCAAAGAGTTTTGACTCATGCATTCCCTGAAGAGATCCTGGGGACCCAAGAATCTGCAGATCACACTCTTCAAACCACCGACTTAATCTGATTGGCTCATGTGTCCTGATGGACTCTGAAGGAATTTTTCTAGTCATTTTTAATATTTATAACTGATCGTATCATCAGAAAAAAAAGTCAAAAAACTGTATTCATTAGATTCTACTAAAAAAACAGTTAGTGTGTAATACATATGAGAAATATTTCCAGCTAAACTTTAAAATAAAACTCTTTAAAAGCTTAAAATTCAGTTGACTAGAAATTATGCTTTATGTAAATGACCTTGTTTCCTGATAAGTTTGCAAAAATGAGTAGTTACTATACTTACATTTTCAGGAGTATGCAGATATTAAGAATATGGCATTAAAAAAAAAAAAAACTTTTGAAAATAAAAAAGGCAAATTATCACCCACATTTTGGATAACTGCCACCCTGCCTGCCTGAATTCAAGATGAGGACAGGGGTCACAGGACTCAGAGAGGCAGAGGAGCAGTATCTAGGGACATAAAAGCTCACAGGGATGACCATCCAGACTGAGGCAGGAATCTAACAAGGGCAATTCTCTAACCAAAAAAGCAGGCAGTTTTGTGAGTTGCAAGATGAGACCTGGAGAAATCACCAACAGTTTGAGGGGCAGAAGCGGGGAATGGAACAAAGATATGCACTTAAGACCAACTGCTCATATCAATACCTAGTCAGGGGCAAGGCAGCAAAAAGTAAAATCAGACTAGTGTAATTGAAGAGAAAATTTCAAGGGCAATAGACTGCATATAAACATGCTACATCCCTTCCACGCAAATACTGGATTTTCATATTACCTTTTTTCTCCTCTTCCTCTTCCTCACAGAACTCTGCTAGGGAAAATGCTTCCTTGAGTTGCTCCAATTCAAGTTTTAAAGTCTCTAATTCTTCTCCACTTAGAGAATTAAGAATAGATTTCACCTGAATGGATATAAAATAATAAAAAGTTGTGAGTACAAAAGAAAAACATTTTCAAATGGAGAAGAGGCTACAGACCAAATTAAAATAAAAATTATGAGCTCACCAGCCAATATAAACTATTCCTTAAGAACCTCAATACAAGACGCTAGTCATTACAGAAAGTTAGGGAGAATTTATACTTAAAAAAAAAAATTAAAAGCCAGAAACATCCGGAAACTATTAGTGCTTAACAATGGCTAAGAAATTAGGGGGAAGTTAAACAGTCTTGAATCAATTAAAAACTAACAGGTAATTGTATCCAAATTGGCAGCTTAAGCCAGAGAGACTACCAAAAAAAAAAAAAGACCAAGGCAAAGGCAAAATACAAATGTGCTATTAAGACCTCCTGGTTAACCTGTCCTTTTCTATTTAAATTGAAAGAAATAACACTGGATTCATTATATTTCTAGCAATTAGTTCAAACATTAGTTTATCTTGGTGTAGTATTTTCAAAGTCTCAAGCCTCCATGTCAAATACATTTCATCTTCCAACTGTACAAACAGAGAAGAAACTACACAGCACTCCTTTGCTTGAAGACCATCCATTTGAAATTGCTGGTTTGGAATTACCTTTATTTCACTTTCTTGGGAAAGCATCTCCAGAGCTTCCAGATGTGAAAGGCCTTGAAATTCATCAAAGAGGAGCCCATAATTAGTTTTCTTGTCCGTTTCCAAGGTAACCTCACTGGAGGTCCATAGCTCTTCTTTCTCCTTTGCCTCTCGTAAAACCTGAAAAAAAGGTGGAGGCTTACCCTGCAGCAAGTAATGAGAGCTCAAGGGTGAGTTCTGAGAGCTGAGGGAGGCAAAGCTGAGATGGTAACAGGAGAGCGCACTGCCCTTTCATTCCTAGCACTGCAATTCAAGTCTGATAGGCTAAGGAGCTGCCGGGAAAAAATGGTCACACATAATTCAATCCTGGACAGGGTAAATAACGCCTAAGGAACCAGGTGGAAAGTGCTTTAAACATTAATGTACTCAACAACTCTGAAAGGGCTTGTCACCTTCTACTGCACTGATAGGAGGCTCCTACAGAAAAGAAAGAGGAGGAGAAAAAGAACTGGGCATTTTTCTAAACATTTCAGATCTCACCAGCCACCCTCCACCCAAAAAAGCCTTAATAAAAGTATCACTGAAAACTTTTCAAAAGGCATTATTAATAAGGTCTACCACAGGCAAAAATACAGATCAAAACAGAAACATGAAGTAAACGGGTAAAGACAAACAGTACCTGTGACAATGTAGAATTCCGGTTCATCAGACCCTTGGTTCTTTTAAATCCAGGATCCCCTTCTGCTATTACATCCATTGTCTTTTTCCCAATGAATTCTAAGGCATCCAAACCCCCACTGATTACGCTCTTTCCCTGGGAAACACATGCAACTTCATTACAGTAATACTGAAAAAAGACATCTGCATGTTTGGATTATATAAAATAGTGGCTAACAATACCAAGCACTAGCAAGAATGTGGAGCAACTAAAACACTCCCACTGCTTGTGGGAATGTAAACGGGTTTAAACACTCTGGACAACTGTATGTCAGTATCTACTATAGTTGACCATATGAACATCCTATGACCCAGCAACTCTACACATGGTTGCATACTCAACAGAAATGTTGAGGTTCATCAAAAGATATACAAAATGGGGCGCCTGGGTGGCTCAGTCAGTTAAGCAACTGCCTTCAGCTCACGTCATGATCCCAGGGTCCTGGGATCAAGCCCTGCATTGGGCTCCCCGCTCAGTGGGAAGCCTGTTTCTCCCTC